CGTTCTGACCTGCCACCGTCTGCCTCCCCGTGGGGACCGGCCCCGGGCCTCGGCAGCGGACGGTGGCCTGGGTCTGGGGGCCAGGTGGGGCCAGGGTGACCGTGCCTCAGAAACAGTGCTCACCGGTCCAGGAGGCCGCCCCGTGGCGCGGTGGCTCGAATGGAGGCGATGGTGGGGCTCCCCTGCCACCCCAAGGCCCGCCTCCCTGAACCCACAGGGCCGTGACGCGCGTGTCCGGGCTTAGTGTAGATTCAGGGTTTCCCGTTTTCACGTCTGCGGTACGCGATGGAGAAGTGGCCAGATGCGTGTTCAGATCTTGGTTGTGTCCCGGATTAATGGCTGTACTTTTGAGAAAGTTACCCAGCCCCCCATGCCTCCGTTTCTGACCTGGACAACTGTGCGGTTGTAAACCCTAAATGAGAGGCCAGCGAAGGCTCGGCTCATCCAGCTTGGTGCTGAAACATTAAGAAAAAGATGCTGGCTTTTTTTGGCTTTCAGGCATGGGGCCTTGTATGCACTTAAAATTGGCTCCCATTTTGAAGGCTGGGCCCTCAGTTCTAAGATCTAATATATACAGCAGTGGGCACATTAGGTAAAGAAATGATTTCAGAACTGCATAAGAGGCATTAAAGGAAGCAAGCTGGCCTAGGCTGCTGATTTTAGTTATCCGAAGAGAAATGTAATAATTTTAAGGTCTGCTTGTTCTCTTAGCACATGGAAACTAAAGAAGAATTCGTTAAAGTCAGAAAGAAGGACCTGGAACGGCTGACAACTGAAGTGATGCAAATACGAGACTTCTTACCCAGGATACTAAATGGGGAAGTACTGGGAAGCTTCCAGAAATTAAAGATTATAGAAAACAGTGAGTCTTACTTCATCTCTAGCTGTTATCGCTGGTGTCAGCAGCCTGTTCCAGTAAAAACCCTACATAACACCTGTAAAGTAACTGTCAGTCAACTTTAAGGTGCAGTTATAGTCAATTACATTTGGGAGATAAGTCATAAGAAAGAGAAGGACTCAAATGAGTAACCAGAATGTGTAAGTTTGTGTTGGAGGAAGGGCTGCTAGATTTCTGGAGTGTCTGTTAACCGACTTCTTTCTCTCACCTCTTTTCCTTGGGGGAAGAGCTTTATACTTTTGCAGTCGAAAAGCTCTGCTCTAAAAATTAAGTCTTACTGGTGTCAGTTAAGGATCTCGCCATGTGAGAAACCTCGCATGGAGTTAAGTGACTGTAGAGGTGGCTGGATGTCTGCTTGTCTCTAGGTTGGTGGACTGGGCAGTGTCTAGCCCTGATTTAAGTTCAGGTTTGCTAGAATGTGTCCATTCAGGTTTTGAGATCTGAGCTGAGCTGTTATGTGTCCAGTCTAGGAGCCTATTGAAGTTCTTGGAGATGTTCCATGACTGATGCAGCAATTGCCTCATTGAGGCCAAATGCTACGGCCACGCCACCCTGAACACGCCGGATCCCGTCTGATCTCGGAAGCTAAGCAGGGTCGGGTCTGGTTAGTACTTGCATGGGAGACCACCTAGGAAGACCAGGTTCTGTAGGCCTAAAAAATAAAAAGGGATTGTAAGCTCACAGGGTCCTTGCAATCTGTGGGGTCAACCAAGGGTTGCCTCGCCTAAACAAACAAACAAAAAAACAACTAATCGAGGCCAAATGACAAATCAGTCTTCAGTGGTTAAGGCTAATTCAGCACAGCGTGTTTGTTTGCTATCACCTCTAGAAAAGGTGCACCTGGGAGGCCTGGGTTGTGTTTCTAGCACTAGTTCAGACAAGGCGGTACCCTAACAGGACAAGTTTCTGGTCTGTGCAGACGCGTTTGGTCAAGAGGCAGCCATATCCAGTTACAGGGAGCGTGCTCATGGTTACCATGGTTCCCCAGCCTGTTTAGGCTCTTCGGAATCTTCAGACAGTCTCTCCTCTGCCCCAGCGTGCTCCGGGAGGTGCACTCCTGCAGGTGCACTCCTGCAGGCCGCTGCCGCTGTCTCCTCTGCTGGCTGCCGGGGGACGGGCTCACCAGTGGACGGCACCGGTGGACGGAGAGAGAGGCCGCGTGTTCTTCCCTGTCCCTTCACAGTGTGACTCCCGCCGAGGGGCCTGCTCCACAGTCTCAGCTCTCACTGGGCTCCGGTGGCGCTGTTTCCTCCTGTCATTCCTTCAGCTGGGGGGCTGTTGCTAGTCCCTGGGTGCCTCACCAGCCCCGTTGGGTCTCTCATCCCTGCTCTCCCCTGTGAGTAGCCCTTTCTATAAAGCCTTGACACCTGGATTGATTTGTTTCCCGTTGGGACCCTGCTGGATACGTTCCATGTCACTGGTTTCCATGGCTCCAGGTCATTGGCTTCTTAACTTTCCTGGTTCTGATCCCATGCTCATCTCGCCACCCTCAGAACAGTCACCCCGAATGCATTTGTCTCCAGGGAAGGAAAGTGCTGACCAGTAGCGGAGTATGGTTATACTTCTCACTGCAAATCAATAAACTGTGTTCTGAAAACTACCTCAGGGGCTCGCGACTGGTTAGCATGAGTCAGTCTTTGGATATAAGTCCTTTACCCAGATCACATTGTGCTTATAAAAGTGAGGGCCACCAACAAATCTGTGGTGACTTGATCAAAGTCAGACTCCAGGAATCCTGCCCCGCAGTCCCTGGCCTTCCCCAGGCCATGTAGTCACTGTTGTCACTGATCTCTTGGGCCACTTCTTTTCAGTCTCCTTTGCTGATTCATCCTCTGCAGCAGCCTGTCAGCGGATAGAGTTGCTGGAGGCTGCGGCCTGGGCCGCCTCCTCCCCGCGCTCCCTGGCCTCCCCCTGGGCCATCTGTGCACACACAGCTTCAGTTACCATCTTGGCGCCAGCGTCTCCTGGATTTCTCTACAGCTCAAACCTCTCCAGGCTCGGGGCCCAGTATCTTCTCACGTGTGTCCTAATCACGTCAAATTCTAAGTGTCTTAGCCTAGTCTGTCTGTGACCATCAGGAAGAACCTATAATCTCACAAGATTAGGTTTACTGCCTCATTGTCGTGAGGGAGACCACACGCCAGAGGAACTGTGGGCATCTTGCCAACAAAAGAAAGGATGGAGTTGCTGTAGGATTTGGGACAGGGTGAGATTTCAGTGAAGTGCAGATGAAGCGTGTTTTGATGGGCTGCAAGCAAAGCAGGGCTGTGTGTGAAGGGTCAGGATCAGGTCCCACTGCAGTGGACTCAGGTCCTGTTTCCTGGAAAACTGGAAAATTTAGACAGATGCAGAACATAGAGTCTAGAAATCCTTATTTGGAGCTCTGTAGCTAGTTGGAAATCAAGGCCGCTGCCCTTTGTCACAGTGACTTTGATTCTGCAGGCGAGAGTGGGCGGTTTCCTTCTTGCTGACAGAAGCAAAGCTTCTGATGGCGTGCGATTTTCTAGATTGAGCTTTCTCTGAATAAGAAATCAGTAGTCACTGGATGAATGGGTCGTTTTGACACTTTACAGTTGTAGTGTGTCCTTGGGAGAAATACTGTTTCCTGTTAACTTGGCAGCTGGTTTTATGTGTGTCTTACCCCAGCCTGACACATTGTAGGACAGAGTTTCACTTTCTCAGGGCAAGCTGGTTTTGACTTTCTCACGTCTGACTCATGAGATCCACCCCACTCATGATGTCCATCCTCCCACCCCACCCAAAACTGGGCTGCCCGAGTGTCCAGGGCACCGCCATCCAAACTAGAGACTAGGGATCCTCCCCGTGGCCCACCTCCTGCGCACTGTCCAGCCCCACCTGCCTGCCAGTAAGCCCTGCGCTTCTCCCTCGTGGTGCGTCCTCAGCTCTGCCTGCGTTGCCGCTGCCACCACCTGCATCCAGGCCCCTATCAGTTTGCCTGAATCTCTGCCTCTGGGCAGTGTCTACTCGTCGCTCTTCAGCCTGTTTCGTACACTGTAGCTCAATTAATTTTTAACAATTCCATCTGTTTATGTCATTCCCGTGCTTCAGTCTTCAATGATTTCTCTTTGCTCTTAGGATAAAGACCAACAACTGAAAAGCAAACCTGCAAAACCCACTGCCATCCAAAAATCCAAACAATACTGCGCCATGGCTTGAAAGCCTGTGTGTTACTGAACTCAGTTCCGGCCCAGCTCACTCTGTCATCTGACTGCCTAGATTTGACGTATCACTGTTAGTCGTCAGAGCACCCCGTCCTCTTCCCTCAGACAACATGGTTTCATTCTTATCCTAGGGTACAAGTTGGTGGGGGGCCCACCCTCCTAAATTGTAGCGGAATCTCCGGGAGCCAAACGTGCTATAGGAGACTGGGTGTCAAGAAAGGGAGAATCAGCGTGCTTGTGGTGGCTGCAGGAAGCCTGACTGTGAACTTGGAACTTCAGCTGGCCCTTGAAGACCTCTGCTTCTCCGGCCTGAGGCCTGCCCTAAGTCATCTTTCACGTAATTTTGGCTCTTGTATTCCTACCTGTTGGGTGACGTGAAAGAAACTCCTCTCCCTTTTTTAGTAAGGACTAGGTCTGTTGGCCCTCTTTAGGCCTTCCCAGGGGACTGTCTTCCTAGACTAACCGTGTGAACCATGGCTCGGAAAAAGGATCCCACAGAGGAAACCCAGGGGTCACATGGCGGCAGCTAGAGCTGTTTGACATGTCTGTTCTTCTGCCCTCCCCGGCCCTGTGGTCCAGGAGGGCTCTTGGTTTTGACCAGTACCAGTGCCCCTTCTGCTTCGAGAGTTGGTGTGTGTCTCCTGTCTTCAGCAGTGACGAAGGGCAACTCGAAGGTAGCAGTGAACGCAGGCCGGGGGGCGTGAGGGGCAGCCTCACAGCTGAGTGGAGGGAGGCCTCTCTCTCAGGGCAGGCTGGGATCATGGCTGGCGCCCGCTGTGAAAAGCAGCTGAGGACTTAGGGTGACACGTGAGGATTGAGTGGAGAGGCTTAATTCTGACTGGAGCGCAGTAACTCCCTTCCCGAGGCTGGGCGGGCACGTGGGGGAGTTTGGAGTAACACTGATGACGGTGCCGCCTGAGAACCTGTAGGGACCAGCTGGCCTTGAGAGAGGCATGATTCGTTGGAAGGGAAGAGGAAGCTGTTCCAGACAAGGCAGATGGCATGCATAAACCTCAGGCAAGAGAGCGAGCAGGATAGGTGGCGGGTTAGTAGGCTGGTTTTCCTGCTTGGTACCTGGAGCAAGAGTTGGGACGTCATAGAGCTGAGGTCAGTAAAGGTGAGCAGTTTATAGGAGAGAAAGTAATCCTGGGTGATTGAGGTGAGAGGCAACTGGATGTTACCCCATGGAGATGACATCAGAATGGCAATTGAAATTGTTTTCGGGGGATGACTTTGGTATCTGAGTGTGGGGCAGGTTTGAGGGATTGGGTGGAAGGTGGAGAATGAATGATCGCGTGCTCATCAGGGCAGGTCTTGGGACCATGGCTGCGTGGTTGGAGTGGAAGGAAGGCGGGAAGAAGCGATCGGTCGGCGAGGACGCACGGAGATGTGGGCTCAGCCGAGCATGGCGTCTGACTCCTGTCTGGAACCTGGACACTCAGGCTAACCGCAGAGGAGGTGGCAGGTCTTAAAACGAGACCCTCTTTGGGAAGTACTGGGCACAACGCCTGGCTCAGGGGCGCCGTCGATAAAGAGGACCCCCTCCGGCGGGGGCCCCTGGCAGGGGCGAGGGCGAGGGCGCACTTCCGTGCAGCCTCCAACACCGCGCGCTCCGCGGACGAGGAAGAGGTGGAGCGAGGCTTGGGCGTAGACCCACCTGGTGCGAATTCCAGTTCTGAGGCGCCGCAGTGCTCAGGTCAAGGCGAGCTCACTCCCCTTCTGGGATCCCTCCCTGTGCATATTTGTCCAACAGTGAGGGACATTACCGTATCCATGGGTGTC